TTATATGCTGTCGAGTCGGACCCGACTCATAGCGAGCCCTCTTTGGGTTTCCCAGGCAGTATCACTACAGAAGTAGATACATTACAGACAAGCTCTAATGGTGGATACTAAAATAAATGGTCAAAAGTCTAAAGAGAAATGGGATAATTTCACAGGTTCAGAGGATTGGACCCAAAATATTAACCAAAGTAAAAAAGTGACTTTGCAGTGGAGAAACGCAGCAGACATCACTGGGTAAATTAAGCTGAACATCACTAGTAATAGAACATATTGGTGTCATGAACTCCTTGATATGAACCACTAAGGAGACATTTCTGTGGCATCCTTACTGAAATGGCATGTTGTTGTTGTTACGTACGGTCAAGTCAGACCCGACTCATAGTTGACCCCTCCTTGGGGTCACTACTGGTCACTATTGTTGTATTTGCCTACAGTCATTGTTTATTTCCCTCTTTCCTCTTATATTTAAGAACTGGAATTAACTGGAATTTTTATTAACTGGAATTCTATAAGAATGAATTTGAACTTTGTATATGTTTGAGGGTTTATTATATTTTTGTGTAACTGTCTGTTCATCTTTTTCCTGTCAGGTTTTGTTCCTTAGTCCCTTAATTAAAAAAAAACAAACATTCTTTATAGATGTTAGGGATATCAGCCCTCTGTTCATGATATATATTGCAAATATTTTTTCCAAGGTTATCAGTTTGCCTTTTGACTACGTTTTTCTTTCTTTCATGTAACTTTAAAAATGTCGTCAGACTTATCCTTTGTTGTTTGTTGCTGTTATGTGCCATTGAGTCGGACCTGACTCATAGCGACCCTTCCACGCTACCAGAGCTCCCGATTTATCCTTTATTACCTCTAAATTTTGAGCCATATTAAAAAGCCCTTCTCTATACAAGATTAAGGAGAAATTCTTCTAGTATTTATATGGGTTCATTTTTTCCATAGCTCCCTGATCCATTTGTTGTTTATTCTATTATATGATATGAAATATATAATCAATGAACTTTTTTGTAAATGGCTACCAAGTTGTCCCTATCAATTAAAATGTCTATCTCTATACCTCTGGTAATCTGGGATCCAACTTTTGTCTTATAGTAAATTCTCTATATATTTGGTTGTAATTATGGACCTTCTATTCCATTTCACAAGAGCTCTGGTAATACAGTGTCTAAGGCACTTGACTGCTAACCAGAAAGCTGGCAGTTCAAAACCCACCAGGCCACTCCTCGGAAGGAAGGTTGGGCAATCTACTTCCATAGTGATACTGCCTTGGAAACCCAAGGAGGGGTCACTATTGAGTTGGATCCAACTCAACAGCACATAACAACAACAACTTCCATTCCACTAGTTCACTTATCTACTCATGTGCAAAAACCACACTTTTAATTATAGAGGTTTTATACAGAAGGTTTTAACGTCTCATAGGGCTAGTCCCTGCTTGTTTTCTTTTCCAGTATTGTCCTGGGTATTTTATCAGGTTTGCTTTTCCACATGAACATTAGTATATTAACAACTTCATAAAATAGTTATGGTATTTTTACTGGAAATGCACTGAATTTATAAGTTAATTTAGAGAGGAACTTACATCTTTACAATCTTGAGTCATCCTATTTAAGAAAAGGGATGTCTTTCTATTTTTTCAAGTCTATTTTTGTGTCTTTCGATAGTGTTTAAAAATTCCTTATATTTTCCACTTTTATTGTTAAAATTTATTTCTGAGCATTTAATCATCTTTTTTTGCTATTGTAAATAAGCAAAATAGTACATCCTGCTTATTACTGTTTATTATTTGAAGATTACTGAATTTATGTTAATTTTATATCCTCCTTTACAGAATTCTTTTATTGTTTGAGTTAGTTTTATCATTGATTCCCTGAAATGTTTATTCCTTTTGTGGTAATTCACTTTTACACTTAAGATTTGTGCACTTTCCTTTTATACTTTAATCAAAATGGTTGATTTTAAAAATAAGCAGCAGAAAATCAAACCAAAATAAAAACAAATTACATCAACCTCTTATGTCTGCCATCAAGTACAATTTCTTTGGAGACATACATATAGCTATATTGTACTTAGAGACTATGTTGTAAGAAAAAAATACTTATCTTTAAACTCTAGAATCATTCACTCTGGTGAGATGTTCACATTGTTCGGTAACTGTGGGAGAGGGATTCACATCATCTATGTAAAAATGTTTTCCCACATATGTATGTGATAATATGAAAAGGGAGACTAAACTCTTCTATATGCATTTGTATTTGTTTATCTCTATATTTTTCATTCCCTTATTAACACATTCTCCTTTTCTTACTCTTACTGTTATTCTCTTAGTTGGACCTCTATAGTTGAATTTCTGTACGTTTAATGTGGATATGCTATAACTAAGTTGTATAAACTGGAACATAAGAAGAGAACAATTTTATGTTACAAAATTGCAGCACCCCCAACCCAAATGCTACGGGAACATCAAGCATCTCAAAATCCTCAAACCCCCAAAGTGAACTAATTTTCCCTGCTTCCACTAACACTTATTCTTACACCTGACCTCTCTGTAGCAACACAGTTCAGAAATATTTACCCGATTCTCTCTCAGATCTAGCCCCATCTAGTATGACATAATAACACCTCTGAAAGGTCTTCATCTAAAATTTGTCCTTTCCATTCTTATTGTTATAACCCTATTTTATCCTTCTAATACCTTGTTTTGGGAGCTCTGGTGGCATAATGCTTAAGGTATTTGACTGCTAACCAGAAGGCGGGTGGTTCAAACCCACCAGCCACCCGCCACCCCTCAGAAGGAAGACTGGACAATCCACCTCTGTAGAGATACTGCCTCGGAAACGTAAGGAGGAGTCTCTATGTGTCGAATTGACTCGATGGCAGTGAGTTTGGTTAATACCTTGTTTGAATTACTGCAAAAGCCATCTACCTTTTTTCTTCCTAAAGGACTTTGACCACAGCATACCTGTCTAAAAAACATTCAGTGGCCTTTACTGCCTTTTATTTCTATAAATAACTTCTATAAACCACCACTAAATTAGCCATTTTCCCCCTAATACCAAAGTTAAGGAGCTCTGATGATGTAATGCTTAAAGCATATGGCTGCTAATCAAAAAATTCAGTGGTCTGAACCCACCAGCTGCTCTCAGAGGAAAGAGGAGGGAGGCAGTTTGCTTCTGTAAAGATTTACAACCTTGGAAACCCAATGGCAGTCTCTATGAGTCAGAATCGATTCAATGGCAGTAAGTGAGTGATTATACCAATGTTATTTTAACTATCAAAAGAGAATAACCATTAGAAAGTTTTGCACAAAATATAAACATGACTATCATTCAAGATAGAAAAAGTCAAAGAAAAGTCATAGGTAAAAGAGAAAAAAAAGATTCTACTCACAGTTGAAAAATGTTTGGTTATAGGCAAATTAGAGTACTATTGTTTTAAATGTAAATGTAAACTCAGTTCCCAGGCTCCAAAGACTGAAAGGAGCTGCAGGTAATACTGGTATATCTGAGCAGACTTCAAGGAACTCTTGTTGTGTGATGGTTAAAACAATCAGCTGCTTATCAAAAGGTCTATGGTTCAAACTTAACAGCTGCTCTGCGTGAGAAATATAAGGCAGTCTGCTTCTGTAAAGATTTACAGCCTTAGAAAACCTATAGGGAAGTTCTACTCTGTCCTGCAGGGTTGCTATATCAGTTGGAATTGACTCAATGGCAGTGGGTGGGAGCAGACTTCAAGATTCTGTCTAATGTGATTCTTACTTTTCTTACTAATGCACACTAAGGTCAGTTCTCCATTTAAAAGGGAAATAGCCAGGACTGATATTCTAGCATGGCTACTAATTCTGATCAGAAAGTATTTTTTTAATGAGGAATTTACTACACAATGTAAAACAAAAAGAAGACTTTTGTACTTTTACTAAATAAATATTTTTTCTTATTATAAGATGAAGTTTGGAAAACATCCTCCACCAGGAAGCAGAAATATCTTTTATTCATGTTAACATATATAGTTTGTACATATATTTTTACCAAACGAAATAAAATAATTAGCAGGTAAAATGGATCATTACTTGACAAAGACATTAGTTCCAAGTTCAAAAATACAGTATCTTTGTTCTGTAAAAGAAGAGTTTTGATCTGCGATAAATTACTTGCCTTATATGCCTACATTGTGCCTTTTAAAAATTCAGCTATGGAGCTTTAATACTAACTTGGTCATTCTTTTCAGAACACAAACTTGAATCACACTGAGAGAGAACTGAAAAAAGACATAATCTCTCTCTCTCTCTAACCTGAAGATTTAAAAAATTTTCAAAATCCAATTCAAAACATATCCACTGAGAATCAGTTCAAAACAATTATTTTCCATCATAATTACTGACCCAAGTTCAATAACTACTGAAGTTAAAGTAGAACTAAATATGAATTTTGTTTGTACATCTAAAGCAAAAAGCAGTGAATTTACTGGATTTAAATAAAACCACATGTAATTCAGAACTATTTCTAATATCATGATCAAAGGGAGTTATACCCTGTTAAATATGTACTGAGTTTTTATTGTAATACCCTTAGCTATTCTCCTAAGAATATATAATAGGTAGAATTAACTATTTTCTTAAAGGCACAGATTTCTAGGGAGCGTATTTTACTTGCAATGTAAGTCACTGTAAATGGTTAACTTCAGATATTCATAAAACATAATACAAAGAGGTTGATTAAAAATTAAGCACATTAAATATAGTAAAGTCTAGAGCAGGGATGGCAAATAGATTTTATTTTGCATACTAGTTTGGAGGAACAATTACGCTCTAAGTAAGCTGCCTTCTGAGGCCATGTTTTAGCTCACTGGGAAAGAGGATTATAATAAAATTAGTAAGGTTTGTCAAAGACATGAGAAAAGATGAATAATGTTATGTATGGCATGTGTTTGCCATTGCTGGGCTACTGTACTTCAAATAATCCCACAGAATATATAATTACAAAATTACTTACTGCTTCAACAGAATTACATTCTCGTCTTGTTTCTAAATAACGTAGTGCTCGTTTTTCTTCCTCTTTTAATTTAGCATCTGCCTGTCCAGAAACAAAATATCAATCATTTTAAGAATATCAAGAAAATAGCTCAAACTATCACATATACTAGGTTCTGACTTACATATTTCATATAGTTCTGTACACCATTTTGTTGTAAATAAGAGGGTGCCTGTGTTCTATAAAATCTCTCTGTGGAATCCAAGTATGCCTTCTCAAAATTGTCCCTATAAATTTGAAGCTTATCCTCAGGATTAGAACAAAGGTTAACTGAAAAACAGAAAATAAAATTTTACTGTAATAATAATTCAAATAGTAATTTGAGTACAATAAATGAAATAACAAATACTGAAAAGTCATTATGTGCAAAGGACTGTAACAATGTTCAATAGAACATAAAATCATATAAGAAACAAAGCCTTCTTAAAAAACACAAAATCAAAAAGATAATAGCACAAAGCACTAAAGTGATAAAAACTACTAACAGAAATAGACTGTTTTATTTCTGAACATTAACAAGACTGACTTCTAACTAAATGATCAAGAAATAATAGAAGGGCCAGTATTTAAAGTGAGTTTTACAGAATGAAATATGATTTGCATAGGTAGAGATCAGTGAAATAAGTAAATATTCAGAAGTGAAAAAGCATAAGACCAAACTCAAGGTATAACTGACTAGGCTGGTCTGAGGGGATTATAAGGTTAACAGAAGGAAGAATGACAGGTCAGGAATGGTTGTAGAAAGACACAAATCTCAAGCTAAGCAACTTGAATTTAGCATAGTGTATTTCTAACAGGAAAAAGGCTTGGTGGCACAGTGGTTAAGAGCTTGGCTGCTAACCAAAAGGTGAGGGGTTTTGAACCCACCAGTGTCTCTGTGGGAGAAAAGACTTGGAGATCTGGTCCTGGAATATTACAGCCTTGGAAACTCCATGGGGCAGTTCTACTCTATCCTACAGAGTCACCATGACTCAGAATTAACTCATTAACAATGAGTTTGGGTTTTTTAGTTTATCACTAAAAGGGTAAATAAAAACAAGCAATATAGTTATTGTTGTGTTCTATCAGCTGATTTCAATTCATAGCAACCTCAAGTGACACAGTAGAACTATCCTGGAGTTTTTTGGCAGTAATCTTCACAGCAGCAGATCACCAGGTCTTTCTCCTGGGAGCAGCTGAGTCAGACTGAACTGTCAACTGCAGTTGGCTACCAGGGCTCCTTACCAATTAAGTCCAAACCCAAAAATAAACTCACTGACATCGAATTCTGACTCATAGCAACTCTGTAGGAAGGAGTAGAACTGCCCCACAGGGTTTCTAGGGCTGTAATCTTTATGAAAGCAGAGCATCACATCTTTCTCCAAGGAGTGGCTTGTGGGTTCAAACCAACCTTTCAGTTAGTGGCCAAGTGCTTAACCACTGTGCCACCAGGGCTCCTTACCAATAAAGTAGTATTTAAAATTAATCTTGTGGGCTTACCAATAAAGTAGTATTTAAAATTAATCTTGTGGGCTGTATACAAGTTAAATGATAACAATAAGATCATTGTAGGAAAGCTATTTCAATAGACCAGATGTAAAGAGGTGTAAACTGGTAGTTGTTGAAATAAGAAAGAGGAAATTTCAGGGGTATTGCTAATGAAAATCTAAAGATCTGATATCTAGAGATATGCAGAAATACAGAAAAACCAATCAAAGTTAACTCTAAAGATTCATTAATTCAACAAATACTCTATGCCAGGCTAAGTAAAGATATAGTGTCAACACCAGAGATAATTCAACAGAAAAATTATACTACTGTGAGGCACAGGTATGCACTATGAAGCACTAAGTGAGAGGACCTAACCTAGTCTAGGAATTAGGAATGGTCTCCACGAGGAAACAGAGGACAAAGATAGAGGAGGAAGAGTATTCTAATTAGAAGGAACAACATATCTGATTGAAAGAACAAATGAGAGTATCATTGTCAGAAATGGAGAAGTTAGGAGATAAATGTATATATATAATTAACTTATGTCCAGAAAACATAAGTACAAAATCCATTATCTCTTATGAGCTCTAGATTTGAATTTATATTTCTCTAATTCAGGTTTCCAAAAAGTTTCACCAACCAAGAAAAGAATGACATGGAGAAAATAAATATTAACCATATAAATAGGAATTTTGGGTTTCTTTGAAGCATAATTAATGTCTTTTATAAACTCTAAAAAGCACAAAAAGTAGGTATGACTTTATATGGCAATGAACATAACTTTGATACTACTAGTCTATAATTGTCCTAGAATTTCCATGAAAAGGAAATTATGATCATAAAAGTTCAGAGCATACCATAGGATTCTCTTACTCCAATGACCAGCTGAGAATCAAAAGCTTCTCCTAATCTTTCAGCATGTACCAACTTCATTGCACTATCTTGGAGTCTGTTTTTAATATTTGAAAATATGGACTCATTCCATGTATCAAGCATGAGCTAGGAAAAAAATGACAAAATATGCAATCATTTTGAATTATTAATATACCAAGAAACACATACACATAAAAAAACTTTTAAGTATAAACACTAGAAGAGGAAATCAAATTCTTAGGCTTGCATTCACTTGAATACTTCAGGGTAGTATATTTAGTATAACAGTAAAGAACATGCATTTCAGAAATAGATGTAACGGGATTTGAATCCCAGCTTTATCACTTGCTTTCATGCTTATAAAATAGTTAAAACAGTATGATTAATTTCAAATGGTTGTAAAAACTAAATATGGTAACATATGGAAAATGTCACTTTATCCTAGAATTCCAAGGTTCAATTTCAGAAATACTGTATGTGCTTGGAATGACCTTGGAATGACATGTGTTTGTATACATACATTATGAATACAAAAAGGACCAACTGAAAAATCTGTGTGATACTAGACCTTAAAAAAAAGAATATGCAAATCAACCTTATAGTTGCTTCATTAAAATGATAGAAATGGTTTATACGTATTTATGAGTATGTATTAGTACTCAGAGGCACCCTTGTGGCTCAGTAGTTAAGGCGCTAGGATGCTAACCGAAAGGTCAGTGGTTTGAACCCACAAGCCACTCAAGAGAAAGGTATGGCAAACTGCTTCTGTAAAGATTACAACCTTGGCAACCCCATGGGGTAGTTCTACTCTGTTCTATAGGGTTGCTATGAGTTGGAATTGACTCAATGGCAGCAGGTTTGGTTTTGGATATTCGTGCTCAGGATAGTTTTTTCAAATATAGGAGACAGATTAATAAAAACAGCAGCAGTAGCAGCAATAATAAAAACAGTTATATAACATTCACTATGTACCTGGCACTGTTCTAAGTACTTTCCACATAAAACTCACTTATTCATTACAACAACTCTAATATTAATTATCGCCCCTTTTACTATGTGGAATCCTGGGCACAAAGAAGAAAGCTAACTTTTCCCATATCCACACAGCTCTTAAGTGGAAACACTGGGATTTGAACTTATACTAGTAGTGGCTCAGAGTCCCTGAGGGGTGCAAATAGTTAACGTGCTTGGTTGCTAACTGAAAAGCCAAAGGTTAAAGTCTACCCAGAGGTATTCTGAAAGAAAGGCCTGACGATCTACTTGGGAAAAAAAAAAAAAAAAATCAGCCACTGTAACTCCTATAGAAGACAGTTCTACTCTGACACTCATGGGTTTACCACGAGTTGGAAATGACTCAACAGCCAACTGGTACTGGACTGTGGGCCCAGAATGTATGCTCTTAATCATTAAGTAATGCTGCTTCTCCATCAATAGGGAACCTTAAAAACTAAAGGAATAAAAGAAAAACAAGAAAGGACAAGATTATAGACTGTAAAGTAGATAATATCTACAAGTGTTTGACCTTTTTTTTTTTTTGTAGTATAAATTTCTCAAATTGCAGTTGCTTCTACCACTGAAGAACCATTTGATAGTTAAATATACAGTATATCTTTGTCAATATTAGAACAAATTTTTAGTTTGGGGAGGGGTGATAATGTCCAGGCTATACTATTTGAATGTCTGAGTTTGTTGCTATGACCATCAGCAAGCAATGAATTGTTTAAAGTTCAAAAAGTATTTTTTTACTTTCAAATCTATGGTTCCATTTGATTCTCACAAGTAGAGAGATATTTTATAAATGAGAAAAGCCAAGTTAGGTCATTATTAAAGAGTTGAAAGGGAAACCTGGGACCTTCACTATCAGGGCTAAGTTCTTTAAATTAAATAATGTATTAGGCACAGAGCTTTTAACTAGAAACTATGCAAGATAAGAAAATAAACAAAGAACATACTGAGTTTATAATAACTAGCATCAAGTGAAAGAAAGATTATAAAGATGACAATAGTTAGCCCGAGATTAAACACAAAGTTATCAGAAGGCAACCTATTAAGATATGAGATGTTTTAAAGAGGAAAAAAGTAATTTAATTTGTAGGAAGGTAAAGGTACAAACAAAGAATAGGAAAACAAAATATGAAGATAAAAATAGGAAAAGTAGAGACCATAGTCGCAGGGGACATCAAGCTCAATTGACATAACATACTATACAAAACATTGTTCCACCTCCTATTTTGGTGAGTAGTGACGGGGATCTTAAAAGCTAGCAAGCTACCATCTAGATGCAACAATGGGACTCTCCTTGTCAAGAGCAAAGAAGAATGAAGAAAACCAAAATTCATGGAAACAATTAGTCCTAGCGACTGGTACACCATCCAATCTGCAGCCTATACAACTATGAGACCAGAAGAACTAGATGGTGCCCGGCTACCACTGTCATCCACTTGGAA